AGGGCTCCGGTGCTGAAGTGGCTGGGGTCTCCAGGCTCCTGTCTCCCTCCTCTGGTTTTTGGTCCCTGCCTCCATTCCTTGGGGCCAGGTCACTGCATGCATAGCAGGAGTGGGCCAGGTTGCCCATGCTGCATGTGTGGCTAACAGGAAGGTTATATTGCCTGCCCTGCACATGCAGCTAAAAGACCCAGGCTGTGCAAGTGGCTGGGGAACCTGGGCAGCTCAAACTGAGCAGGTAGCGAGCAGGAAGGAAGCAGTGAGGAGAAGTGCCAGGCTGCTTACATGGTGGGAGAAATCCTAGGGTCTGCAACCCACGCATCATGTGGCCCCCACTGTCCAGAGGTAGGACAGCCCTGCTCTATAGCAATAAATATGAACATATAGCTCTCATGAGCTTTGTGGTAAGCATGGAGTCCTAGAGCTCCACAGGACAGGTTTTTCCTCCTCATCTTTAAAGACACTCTGCAGTGAGGGGGCTGGACAGAGCAGGCAGCAGGACTGCGTCTGCTTCCCTCCCTAGGATATCCCAGCCTGGATTATAGCACAGGAGCAGACAGGGGGGGAGGGAGAAAGGCATGTGGCAGCAAAAGAGATTTAACTGAGTAAAGCCAACGAAATGAATAGCAGACAGGCAAGACAAGGTGAGCCAAGGGTCAAAGGGACCCAAAGCTGGATTAGAGGCACATGAGCACTATCACCACTTTAGGAATGGAAGAGCTGTGACAAGGCCAGGTGAAGTGACTTGCTCATCATCTGGCCAGCAACAGGCCCAGGATTTGAGTACCAGAATGTCCACAACGCTTGAACAAGCCTGGCTTTTAATGTCGCTACTCAACAGGGTTCAGAGCCACCAACACCTTGTCCCGTTTTCCTTGTCCCCTTCCACCCCAGCCCAGCTCCCCCTTTGCATGTTGGAACTCCTTCCATCTCCCCCTCCCCTTAGTTGTCCTCTCTCTGCCTTTTCTATTGTATAATTTTGGAGGAAGCAAGAAAGGGACATAAACGGGGTCTCTATTTCTTAGTTACCTCTTGCCATTCTTCCTCCTTCTACAGTCCCTCTCACCCTTCCCACTTCCTTCCTCTTTATTTGCTTCCATTCCCATATTCCTCAATTAGGACACATCCATGCAGTGAAGATACCACGCGGCACAGCAGTGTCCTCAAACAGGCTACACTGCTTTGGGCAGGCTGCATCCTATGCTGGGATCAGGGTGGCTGCATCCCCATGATGCCAGGCAGCTAGATAATATCTTCCCACAGGGCCTGGACCTTTATTTGTATCGTGGTAGCACACAGTGGATGGATAGGGGATGTACTAGGGGTTGAGCAACCCCTAGTTGGAGAGGAAGCCCCTACCCTAGAACTGTTACAACCTGAAGAGACAATTCAGATAAAGGGCACAAAAGGAAATAGAAGCATAAGGTGCCTTGGGGTTAGGCCGCTAGGGTCATACAACAGGTCAGAAGAACAGCCACGTATACAACCCGAGTCTCCAAACACCTAGCCAAGTGTTTTACCCACTGGAGGACACAGCCCAGGGGAAAGGTGTAAGCCCTAGGCGGACCTTCATCCTTGCTCTTTTTCAACCAAGGGAGGCCAAGGGTGGGAATTGCTTCCTGTTGTATTCTCATATGTAGTAAGCCACAAAGAGGCTTATGCAGGGGTTTCTCTCTTCTTCCCTCCCTGTGCTGCTTTGTTTTTTGATGGTTATTGCCTCCACAGAAGGGAGGATCAGAAGGGTGAGCCTGCTTTTTTTCTCCCCCCTTGGAATACTCTAGAAAATGAGCCACACCCTACTAGTAAATCCATTTGGTTTGACTCAATAAAGGAGCTGATTTAAGTGCAGCAAAGTCACTGGACTTCAGCCAATTGTAGTGGAAGTAAAAGGGGTTTAGGAATCAAATTATGGGTGTGGGCCTCAAAGGACGTCTGCCCTGAGGCCTCTGCACTCTACAGTAACTGGAGGCATTGCAGGATGGGGTACAGGTGAAAAAGGAGAGACCCAAATGATACACAGCTTCTCCCTGGGTCTTGTTACAGTGGAAAGTGCCATTGAAAAAGAACTAGTGCCAGCCATGCAGATGCAACTTCCTTCTCCCATCACTGATCATCACATGGATCAGGCCCAGAAGATATTATCACCCATCTTATTTACTTGTTGAAAAAGGATCCAGGGGCCCTGATGGCATCACTAGAACTGGGAAGAAAAGAGAATCTCAGGGATGCTGCCACATTACCAGTGACATCGCCCATCATCGCCATTCCTCATTCACCCACCAAACACACGTGTTCATGGCTCAGAAGTGCAGGAGGGGTGGGGGGGGAGAAGAGGGTACCAAGGTAAGCTTAAAATATCAGAGAACATACTCTGAGAGCACAAAGGATGGGTTAATTTCTGCCTTCTGTTGTCCCCATGCAACCTACATGAGCAGAAATTGGCTCCCAATCTGACGTTATGCTCTATTGCTTCCCTTTGCCTGTGAACTTTTTCTTCCCCTCCGTCATTACTGCAACAGAGGGCAAGTTGAGACAAAGGAACATTATGTCGTTACCTCTGCTAGAGATTGTAAACATGTCTCTGGCCTGACAACTGGCAGACACCATTAATATTTTTTATTAACAACTGCTGCATGTTGGTTGTTAGGGTCTTATGACAAAGCTCTCTTCGCCCCCCCACCCCCACCAACTCTCTTCTTTAATATCCTGTCCTTTTTATGAATCGTTATCAACAACAGACTGACTTTGCCTTCTCTGGAGTCTAAGGCAGAATGGCAGAGAGGAGTCAGGTCTAATTCTTCACTGCATCGCACGTAACTTGGTTGGCAGCTCTGTTTGCAGCCACGTAACTCCGCTGGCTTCAGTGGAATCCCTGGTATAAGGCTGGTATCACAGACTGGAAAATCAGCCTAAAACACTGCAAGGGAGATGTTAACAATATTGTTCTGCCAAGGTCCGTGGAAGGATGAAAACCAACTGCATTCACCAAGGCTGGGGCTTCCAAAAGTAACTAATGGAGTTAGGCACCCAAATCCTGTTTGGAATTAGGCATCTAATTCACTTAGGCTATTTTTGAAAATCTCACCCCATAAATAGGAAGATACTGGGTAGTCATGAATATAGGCATGAATGCACAGAAGGAAGAGCCTGCATCCTCAAACAGGTAATAGCACAACAGGAATTGCCCAGGTCGAGAGCCCATCTCTGACATTGCACAGCATCAGTTACTATAAAGGCAAGGAACAAGAATCCCTGCAGTGGACAACTTCAGAATAACCTGGGAATAACTTCCATTGGGAAGTGTTTTCCTGACTGTGGCTAATGGCTGCATGCCCTGACAGCTGTCACAGCAGCAAAGCAAAATCTCCAGATCATTTCTGCAGAGTCTGGCTCCTTTTATATTTCCTTTCCTCCTTAGAGTCTCACTCAACCACAGTTCTAACTCCTGGTTAATCCTGGATTAACATACTCTATTCTGTCTAATCAGGTTGTGTAGTATCCTGGAAAGAGGTCAATGACACCTTCTAATAAATTTGGCAGATTGTTTTACATGATTAGTTTTCTCCTTTTCTCCCAATGCAAAAATCTTCATGATGGAGCTCAGGTCCAACGACAAGACAGGGAATTTAAGGGAGTAGGATTAACTTTTAAAGCCAAAGGAACAGCATCTCCTGCTCACACAGTATCTTGTGATTCAGCACATCAAACAGGCTCAGCTCATAAGATTCAATCACAGGCTGAGGACTCTGGCTGATCTGCGTTTATTTTAAATTTACATGAGAACAATAGACTGGAGAAAGTATGCTGAGTTGGGGTCACAGCTACATTTAAGTTAGGGATCACAGACATAGCCTTTTGTCATGGAATTCGTTATCACTTTGGCTCCGAGTGTTCATTATACTCCACAGAAAGTTGGAATCTGATCATTTTTAGGTTGGAAAAATGATTTACCTATAAAATTAAGAGTCATGGAATGGTAATTACAGAAAGAGTCATTTACAGATGTGGAATGGATCTCACAATTTTCTGTTTTCTGTATGAATCGTTTTGTCTTGTCCCTCCTTCTGGGTATTAATCACATGCTGTATTTCAGTGATTGGTAGGTGGGTAAACAGGGTAAAGGTGCTCAGCTCAGAAGGTGAGACAAAGCTCGGTCCAGGGTTTAAGGCATTTATCTAAGAGCCAGAAGAGCTCAGTTCAAATCCTAGCTTTGCTTCAGAGGTCCAGTGCGACTATGAGCAGCTCTCTTAATGCCTCTATGCCTCAATTCCCCCATTTGAAGAATAAAGAGAACAGCGCTTCCTGAGTGATGGGGCCCTAACATGAATGATAGCAAGGTGCTCAGATACTACAGTACCAGGTGATGTGTAAATACCATAAATCAATAGAGATTAGAGCTTGGCTTTGATAGCACCAAGATTTTATGGACTCTTGAGAGCTCAGCCCAGAATGACATCCATCCTTTCACAAGATTTTCTCCATCTCAGAAAGCAGTGAGCTCTCATTTAATCAGTTGTCTTGGTATGACTGTCACCACCATTAGCTGAAATCTCACAGGAGTGGCTGACTGAGGTCTTGTATTTATTCCCAGGCTGATACCTCTACAGCAGTCACTGTATACTTCCCTGCACTATCATGCTAAAGTCACTAATGTCCTTCATCCCTAAACTGGAGGAAGCACTGCTAGTTGATAGTCTAAACCCATTCAACCACTGCCTCTTTGTTAAGGCTGCCAACCCTGTGGTGGGGCTCACTTTTGCCCACTAGGAAGTGTACTACCCCTTATATATATCACTTATGTCCCTCACTGGCTATCACGTGGTAACAATACTCAGTATTAACCCAGGCTACCTTCAGACCATTCACCTAGAGTGGAAAGTTTCCAAACACTCCTTGACCAGTCTCCTGAGCCACCTAGCTACTGCCCCTAGTCCCTCCTTCTCATGTATTTCACTGCAGCCAAGTGGCATTTTTAACACTGCTTTTTGTCATGTCCTCCTCAGAAGTCATCGATCGGGAGCTGGAGGATAAGTGCAAGATCATGGAGGCTCAGCTGCACGAGAAGGAGAAGGACAATCTGGACCTGAGGAAGGAGCTTCGACACAAGGAAGCCTTGGTGGCTGCGCTGAGATCCAACCTCAGGAACAAGGAGAGGAAATTCCTCGAGGAGCTGAAAAGGAGGAGCCATCGGGTGACCATACTAAACACAGAGCTGCAGAAGCAGACAGAGGCTGCTGCTTACCTCTCCTTCCAGCTCCATTCCACCAAGCAGACGCTGCACAGCTCCCGGCAGGGTGGGAAGCCCCCCTCCGACAAGCCACCGGACAAACCCTTGCCTACACAACCTTCCGGTGAGGTGAGACCTAAAAAGCGCAGCCACAAGGCTCATGTTCGGAGGCTGGCGACTGACTGCTCCTTTAGCAAAGGGGTTATGAAGGACTCTTTCCAGAGGGAGAGGATGAGCAGCTTTGAAGACGCAGATCCCATGCCTGACCCAGCACTTTTTTTATACACCAGGAGGCACCATGCACCCCACCGTCAGAAATCTGAGCCCAAAACTGAGGGCCTTAAAAAAGCAGGGGTTGATCCAAATGACAGTGCTGCTACAGGCTGTGACCTGCAGAGGCCATCTCGGCAGCTTTCCCAGGAGCAGGTGGAAGCCACAAGCCCCAGGGCTTCAGCTAAGACCAAGCCCTCTAGGGGCAAGCAAGGCAGATGTCATGGATCCAGCCCCAGGAATCCCAAAGATTCGGAATAAAAACAAAGGAAAAGGAACAATGCAACCATCCCATGCAGCGTCGGAGTCTGGCTATACCAAAAAAGAGAGGAGGGCCTACGCAGATTTCCTGCCGCCTTGTCTTCATGGAGTACAATATTGGGCTGGGGGAATTGCTCGTTCTGGCTCCCCTAACCACAGCTCCCTTTCCTTCTGCTAAGGGAGAAAGAAATGATCTCACTTGTCTAAAATGGAGATTTCTTCTCAGAAGGATAGTGGGGCATGGGAGTGCAGTGGCCAGCAATGCTGAGGGTGTTCTGAATGTTGGTATGGAGTCAACTCCAAGAGAAAATTAATCCAGATGTGGAATGTGGAGAGAGTTTTGGGGCATGGGAATAAGGGAAGGAATGGTGGTCAAGAGCTGTCCAGAGCTTCCCTTTCTTAAAAATGAACATGTCTGAGACTAAAACCTCTTTCTGTTATTGTCATCATTGTTCCCTTTAGAGGAGATAGTTTTTATTTTCACTGGCACTAGGTAGAGGGGGGTGGGGGGAAGCGGGGAATGGCAGAATTGCACATATATGAGTTCACTGATGGTGAACACAACAATGGGCAGGATGAGCCAAAGTCACCCCTAGTCTCGACTTCATGATGTGGTGAAGTTTGGACAAGGATGGACTTGAGCCAGAATGTCTAATGTCCTCCAGGTTCTGGAGGAATTTAGGGAGTTGAAAGACAATCGGTCAAGCTGGTCTAAGAGGGATTTCTACCCCATCTGCAGGCCTTGCCAATCATGTCTGACATGGTCACACAACAACGTCTTGCTTTATATTTTTCACCCAAATTCCTCCCTCAGGAGAAACCTGTTGGACAAGATTTTCAAAAGTAGCCTCTGATTTGGGGTGCTTCCCTTTTTGGGGTATCCAGTCTGCACTATCAGAAAAGGGCCTGATTTTCAGAAGCTGATTTTCAGATATCCAAAATCACTAGTCACGTGTGCTAGCCTGGACACTGTTTTGCCTGTTGTTACAGCAAGTTGTCCGGATGTGTCCTTGCCACTCCACATCCCCGACTGATTTTTTTCCCACAACTGTCTATTACAACTGCTGCTTAGACACCAAGCTCTTGTTTTTATATTAAGTTACCAATCATGTGTTACTTTCCCACTGGAGCCTTGTTCAGAAGACTAAGTAACTAAATTAGTAATGAGATGCCCAAAGAGGAGATCTCATGCATTGCAAATAAATAGAAAAACATTTTTGTGGCAAAGTCAGCTGCTCATTTCTGCTTTGAAACAGATAGGAAGTTCTAAGCAAGACAAAATCTGTCTCCTTTGGGGCTTGGTCTCATCTCTGGAACTAGGTATTCATATGGCCCCCAATTCACTCCAGTTCAGTATAGCACTGCACTCAGGGAGGGAAGTGCTATCAAAGGCAGACAAAAGGTTAAGTTCTCATTGTATGACTTCAATGGGAGTTGAGGCAGAAGCTACTTTATTTCATGCAGGATGAGACCTTCAGTTACTCTGCAAGCAAAATGTTGACCCACACAGTTTTAACTACCCATTCTATCCACCTGGCCTTTTTCTTATACCCCTTTCCATGATGGCTACAGAAAATGCAGCGGATTGATGAATCTTGTGGTGTCCCCCGCCCCCGTGCACTGATAATCAAAAGCCAAGAATGATATCACACTTAACAAGCCAAACATTTGCTGTTTGGGTATTTGGGGACACCAGTCATACAAGGGTGTTTCAGAAAGGAACAGCAATTTCAAAATAAAACCATATGTGTGCAATGGTTGTTTACCAGACCACATCACTTCTCTACACAGTCATAAATGGTGGATGAGTTCAACCACCATCGGTGTTCCCAGCTGCTGTGTGATTTCCTACTCATTACACACAAAATGGTTTTATTTAGAAATTACTGTTGCTTTCTAAGATACCCAGATATTTACCACAAACCTGAGATCATCAATGCAGCGCTCACATTTGATATGCACCTCTTTTTGTAGTTCTGTACTTATATGCCATATTAAAATAATTTTCTGAGATTCCAGTAGCAATTACTAGCCCAGCTTTTGGAATGATAAAAATAAAACGCAGAGTATATATATAGTTGAGCTATATTTTTTTTTGATTGAGAAGTGAATCTGTTCTTTTCAAGCCATATGTGAGGATCTTACTATCCTTCTTCTTTTGCCCCACCTGGGAGGCCCTTTAAGAGCATGAGGAACCTATACCCAAGGCAGGACTGACCTGAGTTCTTTAAACACAGTCTTGAATTTGAAGTGCAACCCCACAGTATGAGCTGTGTAGACCTCTGTTTAGCACAAGACTTTGTTTCTAATTTAAGCCCAAAGGGTCAGGTTTTTAAAGGTATTTAGCACCTAAGGATGAAGATGAAATCCGAGCAGGATATTTTTAAAAGCACTGAGGCAGGTGAAGCACCTAACTCCCAGTGATATCATTGGGCACATAACCTGCACAGGTGCTTTTGAGTAGCCTACTGATATCTAGCTTCATTTTTAGGCACTGAATGTCTTAAAAAACCTGGCTGTGATTGCCTGATCATTTCCAAAGCAAAAAACAGAAGGATGTAGGAACAGATTCAGAGCTGTGCTTCTGAGTGCTCTTCCATTAGCTGCTGAAGGGCATAAGTGATACGGATATCAAGATGTTTTCAGGGCCATTTACTGGATTGCTAGCTGCCTTCTATTTTGGGGATAGAGCTCATTAGACTCCTCTTTATTGATGTCTTACGCTGAAGCAGTAGACGACCCTTTTCAGTTCTACTCTGTTGCTATTCAAAAGCTGTCTTTGTGATGCAACAGCTAACTGGAATCAGCAACAGTGGGGCAGAGCAGTTTTTTTCTGCCAGCACAGCTAACAGAGCCTTGTCTTTCTCTCAAAAGCTGAAGTTTCTGGAGTGAACAGGCTTCCCAGAGTCTTGCCTCCTCCTCAAGGTCTTCTTCCCCCCATATTTTCTCACTACTACTCTACTGCTCTTCAGTATCCAGAGCTGTCGGTGCCCTCTTGCATTAGTGACAACCTGCACCATGAGCTGATGCTTGGCAAAGGGATGAACTGAGTCTTAACTTGGGGTGTGAGAAAAGGAAAAGCTAATCCGGGACTATTATCTCAGCCAATATATTTCAGCAGCCGAGCAGTGAGTGAAACGAGATCTGTAGCTGCATGTTTTACTGTTTGTGTCAACGCTCACACTCCTGTGTAGGAGGCAAGCAATGCTTGCATTATTCAGAGGCCCTCTCCAGATTGATTATTCCATAACCAGCACTGATATAATTCATCGAGATTTACAGAAAGTGATATTCCCATGAGCAATTCCAGTTAGAGATTCAGAGTCACGTCCCCAACTGGTATTAAGCTGACACAGGCTCACTGAAGTCCAGCAGGGAGCTACACTACTGTACGTCATTTAAAGAACCGCCCTTAGCAATTGTGTTCCATCAGTGCTTTTTGGTGCGACTGTGGCTACAAAAATGTTCACTGGGCTGGACAAGCTTGCCTAATAATTACTGGATCTCTTGTCTGTAAAGCTTCTTATCTCTGAGTGGCTAACACTGCCCCAGATGCCCAGGCAGCAAGGTCTGCGGAAAAGTCAGGCACATCACTACTACAAATCCACAGTACTAACAACAGAAAAATGTAAAAGAGTCTCATGTGATGGGTCCAGTTTTGCAATAAAGCTAGGAGATGCTATTTTCTATTGCAGAATGATTAAAAAGAAAGGGCCCTCTGGTGGCAAAGTCATGTAACGCGATTCCTCCCCTCCCACGAGCACAGATTGTTTGCTACGCTGCTTGGATGGACACAATTTGATTAAGTCAAACAGTAAAAGCAATAAGCAATTTGCATTGCATTGTGTATGTCAGACCTGTGGAAATGCAGTATCCCTTCAACTTGATTAAGGTTTGTAACATGCAGGTAAGGAACCTCGCCTTTGTAAATGGTAACGTCTCTCAGGTTCGCAGAGGTTCTGCTGAGAACATTTCTCTCCTTTTTATTAATTTTAATACAACAGATGCTAATAAAGTCACTGTGCACTTCTTAGGTGGGTTTTATGATAGTTATGGCCTACACAGCTGCTTTTTTCCCCCATTCCTGCACAATCCTGACATTTTATTAAGATACAGAGATCGCAGCAGACTTTAATATTAAAAATAGAATAAGAGTATTATAGCACTTCTTTGTAAATGATTTCCTAGCAATCACTTATTTCTTAGTGCCTGATATGCAAGTGAAGCAACTTCATTGGAGCTGTAGAATCTTTTCCACTTTACCAAGAGCTACAGGCTCATTCAAGGGATTTATTTAATTTCCAACTCTGTCGAGCCACACCTACTCTCCCCTGTACCCCACTTCCTCTCCCTGTCTTTTCTTATCCTTTCACACAGGCTACTGATGCACTGAAGCCGAACGACCATGTCTCTCTCTAGTAGGTATCACCGGAATCTTGCAAATCGTAGTTACAGGGAAGAAGCAGGAGGGGAAGCTATGAATTTTATCACACACAAAACAAGGCACACAGTCCTGGGTCTGATCCTGGTCTGTCTTACTCCAGGTCAAGCTCTACTGATGTCAATGGTGTTCCTTCTGATTTACACTAGTCCAAGAGAGAGGAGGAACAGGGCCAGTATTCTTGATGAGCCATAAAAAGAGACAGAGGCGCTAAATGGAGCACTTTCTATTCCTATGAGCCAAATCCTGAAGCCCTTTCTTGGTTTTTATTCACTTGTTCCTCTAGCAAAGCCTTCTATTTAGCCTCCCTCTAGCAAAGCGCCCACTGGCTTAACAGAGGGTTTCATCCAAGTGAAAAACTGAGAACTAGATTGTGGTGGCTGGACTCCCTGTGTAAGATACCATTCACCATAATCAAAGTTACCGCAATCTGGCCCTGGAGTAAGGGTAGCAGGATCTTGCCCTGTATAGTTAATACTGTATTTTGAAGTTCATTGCTAGGGCCAGACCCTTAGGTAAGAATTCTTACCCAAGAGTTTGCAGGATCTGCCCTGAAACTTTGTTATTGGCCTTTTTATTCTTTGCTGTGTTTTTGTGGCTGAGGAAGGCTCTTACAAATATATATTTAGTTGTTTTAAAGAGAAAGCACTGTATGACTGAAGCAGGGATGATGTCGAAACTAAAAATAATCTGTTTTTTTAATCTTTGTATTTATATAAAATGATCAAAAAAGGGGGTGAAAGAGTCAGTGTTCCTACTTTTTAATCAAATGTTAGACACGGAGTGGCCAATGAAATGACACGCACCTAATGAAATACAAGTTCTTTTGCTACTGTTGATGGGTGAGCGTGTTTACAGACTCTCTCTTGTGTCTGAGTGTAAACTAGCTATGAGAATGTAATTATATAAGAGATTTGTAGAGTATGTTTATTCAGCGCTATCACAGACTCCCTGCAAGTCAGAAAGGGTAAACATAATTTCTATCTATACTGTAT